GCAACCGCGACCGCCGCGAGGCCGGGCAGCCCCAGCCAGCAGAGCCAGCAGCACCGCCACGCGCCCCCGCCGCAAGGCAGAACACGTCACCTGGCCACCAACTGGGACGAGAGGACAGAAGCGCCTGTGGTGGCACAGAAAATGCTGTCCACAAACTTCCCATCAGGCTCCCTGTCTGAAGCTACCCTTCTTCCTTGCTTTTCAAGGAGTCTGAACCATGTGGGCCACCAGAGCACATAGCGCTGCCTTCTGACACCTCTCGCTCCGCCTCACAGCTGGGACTCCCTGGGTTTAGGGACAATATTTATTTCCTTGGGGGTTTTAGGGTCGCGCTCTGCACCCCGCTAGGATGTTGCCATCCCGAGCAACGGGTCTCCCATGAGAAGACGCTAGTGGAGCGCTGAACCAGCCTGACCTAGCGGAAGAGCCGGGGGCACCGGCCCAGGTCCGGGCTGGCGTCGCCTCCTCACGCTGCCCCCAGCCCCGTGGCTCAGAGCTCTGGGGAGCTCAGGGGCGAAGCCTGAACCAGATCACAGCCATCCCTGACCCAAAGCAACCAAAGACTGCAGAGAAGGCAAAGCAGGCTACCAAACCCGCTCACCATCCAACTAACCGGCTGCTGAAATGTTCTGCAAAGGGTGTTCACATGGAACAGAAGGTGAGTTCTCCTTCCCTCCAGAAGGTGCCGATTTCCACAGGAAACCCTTGAGGTTTGCAGCAGCCAAGGAGCCTGCGCTGGGACACACAAACCGGCTGCGCGTGGAAACGAGGCCTCCGGAGGAGCCTGGGCACCGCCGGGAACAGCGCAGCACAGGAAGGGGGGTGATCAGCATCTTCTCTGGCCTGTCGCGGTTGTCTTGGCTTCCAACACGATCAAGTCAATGATGAGGGGAAAGGGGACTATTATTATTGTTATTATTATTAATAATTTTTTTTAGCATTTCAAATAAAACCATGTTGTGTTGTAAACAGAAGCTCGTTCCTCCGGTGTGCCCAGTCCCTTCTAAGGTTTATGCTTGAAGTGGGCTTCCACTGCAACACAGACCAGAAAGAGCAGAGTTAGAACAGGCACCACGACAACGCAGCTGGCATCGATCACCCTCATCCCAGCGCTGTGGACATCACCCCACGTGCAGGAAGGCTTCACATTAAGGAGGCAACTGTGAGACACCGTCCTCCTCTTCCAAATATGAACCCATCTGTAGGGACGGGCTTGGCCTCATCCCAAGGCAGGGAAAGAACTTCCTCACTCAGAGTGAACTGAAGGGAGAAAGAGGAGTTTTTCCACCCCCATCCCCCTTCCCATCCATCCTGCTCTCTGATGGGAAGTAAAATGGGACGAGTTTGTACTCCAGGCCCAGGGAGAACCCACCTGCATATTCCTGAGGCAGCATCGGCCGGCTTATCACCTTCTGAAAGGTCGTGATCCACTCCAGCTGGTCGTCCTCCGTCTCGCAGGCAAAGAGGAATTTCCTGTCGGGGGTGACGATGGTTATCCCGTGCTGCCAGTGATTCCCCTGCGTGGACGGCGGGAGCCCTTCCAGGACCTTGTAGCTGTTCTCCTTGCTCCCGATGAAGACCTCCCCCCTGGCGAAGGCGTCCTGGAGCAGAGCACAGCGAGGGGCAGCGCGCGCGGGCGCTCTCGGCGCGGGGCCGCCCTCCTGCCCGGCCCCTGGCCCTTCTCCCTTACCAGGGGGTCTTTGAAGTACATGAGCCTCCGGTCGTCCATGGTGAACCACCGCTTCTTGAATCCCTCTGTTTGCTGCGGAGCCAACAAGCAAGACGTCACGCGCCGCAGCACGGCGGCTCCTTTCTCTCTAGACCCCACGCAGGAGTCCCGGGGCGCTGGGCTTGTTTCAGGCCCACGTGGAGACCCTGCTGGGCTGGGGGCGGTCACTGAAAGTGATTTTGGGTCTCCCTGCGGGGCTGGGATGGCTGGACAAACCTGTGGGAGCCGCCAGTGCCCTGGGGAACGGGGAGGTCTGTCTGCAGGATGTGTTAAGGTCACTTATACACCCTAAATAATATTGGCTTGTGCCTCATCCCCACTCACTGCTGCTCCACAGCTTGGCCTCAGCAACATCCTCGATTCCAGAGCTCTATATACAGAGTTTGCCTTATTTTTGTGTGTGCAAAGAATACCAAGAGAACAGCAACACCTCTTACAAACGTGGAGGTGCAAAAACCCCATGGTGAGTAATTGCAAACACTTGTATCTGGCCAGGACTTCCTAAATGAGCCTCTTCTAACCATGACCATTCTCTCTTCCTTCCCCCTTTCCCTTTTAAAAGGAGGAAAGAACTAAGAGGTCAATTTAGACACTGGCTCTGGCATTGGTAGAAATATTTACTCGAGTCTGAAGCGATGGCTTCAGCTATAAAGAAAAACAGAGAGAAGGAAAATCCCCAGACTGGGCCCTTATTAGGAGCTGCTCTGTGAATCGGAAGCCAGGAGGTAACACGGAGCAGCTGGGAGCGGAGCGGCTGCCAGGGAACCCGGACTCACAGATGGGAATCACGTAAGAGTTGCACCACGTACAGGGAAACAGGGACAGCAGAAGGTCTCGTGTCCTACCTTTGGCCCCGTCTTCTCCATGTACCCTTCCTTCAGGTAGTTTCTGGAAAGCTTTGGCACCAGCTGGAGCAACCGCAGAGGAAAGAAGAGCACAGAGTGAGCGGGACGGAGCTGCGGGGCAGGCAGCAAAGAGCAGGTGGGAGCAATGGGAAGGGCCCCAGAGCAGCCCTCTCTAAACGCTCTTCTCAGCAGCAGCCGGGCAGCAAAGCCAAGAGCCCTGCGGGATCAAATCCCGCTTCGCTGATCTGTTCTGGTGACAAACCTGCCCCAAATCCCCTGGGAAAGAGCTGTGATTGCCTGGGGAGGCTGTGATTTGCCTCAGGTAGGGCTGGAAAAAATGGAGCCCTTTCTGCAGGATCCTGCCGAGAGGGTTTCAGACCTGCTCCCACCACGTCCTGGCTCTGGTTCTTCTCCCAGTCCTTCAAACAGGACCCCTTCCACCAGCCCCAATGCATCTTTTGCTTTGAAACTTTATTAACACATGATGCCTGTGAACTCCCCCTTCCTGGAGATATTCCTGAGAATAATTACCAGTGCCTGGGATATTTTTAACGCTGCTGAGGGAAGATGAACCAGGAGCTGTGAGATCTTTGCAGATGCCTTTGAAAGTCTCTTGAAAAGAGACGAGGAGCTTCATGGACAAGCAGAGCTGACGGGGCTGCTGCAACACTCCTCTGCCTCCCCCGCCCAGGCCGCCTGCCTTTTACTTAAACAAGTTTTTAATGGCTCAGCTTTCGAAATCGAGCTCCTGCAACATGTATCGCTGTCCAAGAGAAGGCTCTGATCAGGCAGCTATGTGCTTGAACGGAGAAGAAAAAAGCCCCAGAATACAAGGGAGAATCACAGAGCTGCTTTGTACCACGCCGGAGGATCCGCGTCTCCGGCTGGCAGGCAGCGCGCAGGGAGGCCCCTTGGCTCTATTTCCCCCATCTAACAACCAAAGAGATGGGGAAGATAAAAATATCAACAGCTCATCTCCCACCCGCGCAAGCGGGTGAACCAACCTACCTTCTCATTAACCGCTGGACAAAACAGGGTATTTTAAGTGGGTTTTCCTGGTGATTCTGTGCAGATGAGCCAACCCGTCCTCACAACATTAGAGGCTACGGAAACGGGGGGAAATGGTTCAAGGAAGGAGCGCATGGCCAGGGACTGCTGCAACAGGGGCTGCCGAGGCTCTTGTTGTGGTTTCTAGTGTTTACCTGCTTGCACAAAACGGTCTGCATCCTTCACGGGGCTGCCAGCTGTGGCACCCTCCTCCTCTCGCTCTTGCCTTGGGCAAGGGCACAACTTGCAATATTGCAATTTTGCACAGACACGGGTGGCTTCTGTCACCGTTGCTCACATGCACGTGTCTTATTTCGAGCATGCAGGGCCGTGCATGGGGGAGCACACACGTTGCTGGCAGGTGCTGCACGCGGGCTCCACGTCCCATCGCAGCCCCTGCAGCCCCGCAGTTACAGATGCTGAAGAGCGGAGCCCTCTCTGAGCTTTCCAGCTTGTCAGATGGGTGCTAAAAATGAGTGTGTGTGTGTGTGTGGGGGGGAAATAATGAAGGAAAACTCACGTCGGCATCGCTGGCTCCCGGGAATGCCACTTGTAAGTAATGAAACCGCGCTGCGCGAATGGCATTGAACCAATCCACGATCTCCTAGGAACGGGAAAGAAAAACCAGAGTGAGGACCGCGGAGCTGGCGCCCGCAAAACGAGGCGACGCCGCCGCGTTTCATCTCGCCCAGGGAGAACCAAACCGCAGGAGGCTCCGGCTGGACAACACGAGTTGTGGGAAGGGGAAGGTGCCCGGGAAGAGCATCCGAAAGCTCCACATCCTGCTCCACTCACCCAGCAGCTCCTGGCCACGCACAGGAGGCAAGATAGATGTTTCAGCACCTGATTCCCATTCAAACGCTGAGGCCTTTCCAACATATTCCAGTGTTTTCCTAAAACAGGCACCAATCCTTTCTTTCTGGTGCTTTACACCATACATCTGAGAGCATTCTGTGCAAAATTGATAACAATATTGAAGTCCTCGCTGAATTTTGCAGATGTTCTGGCACTTCTTCCTTTTCTTGGCAAGAATTTCTTAGGCTGTGACTTTTTTTTTTGCCCCCAGAATAGTGGGGATTTACTTGTTTGTTAGAAACTCATCCACTGATTCAGCTCTGGTGAGAATCGCAGAGCGCAACATCTTTTTGAGGGTTTCGCTAGGAAACGTCGTATTAACTTTGAGTAAGTGATCTGCACAGGGAGCTTTCAAACGCTGCGCTACGTTGAAGAGGAACGGGCAAATTCAACATACTTTGGCAGGAAGATGTTCCAGCTGCAGCTGGATGCTCAGCTGCTCCTTGGGCTGTTCTTAGCACACGTGAAGCACCTACTCCTCACACTAGGGACACCTCCAGCGAGCCAGGCTTGGTCTAAAATCAACACTCACATCCCTTTCAGGTGAGGCTGCTGCAGCACAGGAAAGGCCATATCAAAGCAGAAGTCAGGCTCCAGTAAGATTCACATTTTTACCTGGTTTAAAATGGTTGGAAAATAAAATTGGAGATCTCGGTTTTACAGAGTCGAATTTGAAATTCCTCAAAAATGGTCCAATGGGGCAAACACCCCTCAATTAAAGGATCAGGTGCTTTGCTTTGGCTTGTTAATGTAGGTCATTGACTTACCCTGTGCTCTGGGTATCCCTGCTGGAGCAGGGGGGTTGGACTAGATGATTTCTAGAGGTCCCTTCCAATCTCAGCCCTTCTGTGATTCTGTGACTTCAAGTTGTGGGGGGAAAAAAGCTATAAACAAGGACCTGTTTCAGCAAACGCTGACCCGCGTGTCGGAGGTTTGATCACCACTTGCTTCTCTACCTGAGCAGCTGAGCAGAGCCCGGAGAGCAGCAGGAGGAACAGGGCTCTAAAATTAACACCACTGCTTAAGGGAAGGGGCACTTTGCAACTTTCTTTCCACAAACCTGTGCTTGCGGACGTATTCCCAGAAGGCTCACTTGCTAAAAATGTCCCGAATTTCCTGTGCGCGTAACTATGAGCCATACTGCAGTGAGGAGACTGCGGCTGATGTATTAAACAGCACAGAACTGCTCAGTGGTTTTAGACAGGCCGATAACTTCTCATTAGCAGATTCCTTTCGCTGCTCAATGTCTCAGAGCGAGCAGAGGGAAAGAATGACTGGAAGCAGCTTCACAAGGGCTCTTCTAGGCTCCCAACCTCTTCTTAATGCAAGCGCTGGCTCCCTGCCCACCCAGTCCCTGCCCTGGTCGGAAGCCTCTCACATTGCAAAGAGCAGATGAACAACCCTGCACCAATACGCAGCTTCTCGCTGTACCTGCTGCCTCCAACTGCTCCAGATCCCGGGAGCTGCAGCCCTGGACCCCACAACAGCGGGAAACGCAGGCAGGGATGGAGGGCAGGGTCACACTGCAGCTCTCCACGCGGCTCCGGAGGCGGCTGGAGACCGGAGTCCTGTAGAGGGAGCTTCAGCCTCGGACAGGATCTCGGCGCGGTGGCTGCGAGGGCTTCCCGACTGCACATCCCGCAGCCCGTTCACGCATCCGGGCGGTTTGGCCGCACAGCCCCTAGGACACATCCCTTTCCAGCCTCACGGCTCTCCTCGCCTCCCAGCCATGCTCTGGTCATCTTGCAAACAGCTCAACTCCGTTACTTCTGCATTTGGGGTAATTTCTATAGCCATTTTCAATGTAAAAAGGGTCGTGATTGTGCATCACCATCTCCCAGTGTCTAGATGGAGACCTGGGGGCAGGTGCAGGAACTCCGTCTCCAAAGGCTTTTGGTGACACACAGCCCCCAGCTCCCCACGGCTGCGGGAACCTCCCTGCCCCACGCTCGGCCATGGCCCCACGGCCGTTTCACCAAGGGTTAAAGCTCCACTCACAGGTTCCTGGTGGCACCAGGGGTCTTCCTGCCGCTGCTGCCGACACGAGGCCAGAGCGACTCCGCTGGGGCCCGCGGGGTTTGAGCGGGAGTTCAGACCAGCGAGTCCTCCCTGGGCTGGACTTCGCAGACCACAGGGGCTGCTGGCAGAGAGGTCATTGTCCTAAATCCAAACGTAAATGACAGCGAACTGCTGATCCCACTGCTGGCCTGGCCTTCCTGCACGCACCTCTCGGCACCGGGGCCAAGGACGTCTCTCTTCTGGGCCGGGCGGCTTCTCAGAGGGACGTGTCCTGCACGGGAACGAGCGCCTCCTCCTCCTCTTTAATTTAAATTGTGTCCAAGGAGGGAGCTGACGGCAAATCGAGCTATTGCTGTGTTACACCAGCACCTGGCAACGGGGGCTGCCTGCTCCACGGGACCTGCACACCTCCTCGCTCAGAGAGCAGGGAGGGAGAGCAAATCCAAGATGGGAATAAAGCCAGGTGATGTAGGTCAGTACAAACATGTATATTTGCCTTTTGGAAAGCACAAGATGAGCACAGAAACAGCCAATCCCTCACTTCTCTTTCAATCCAAGTTGTTCCCCGTTTGCAAGTCCTTAGATCAAACCTGCTCAGCTCTCCTTCCTCCGTTCACCCTGTCTCTGCTGGATGCAGAGGGGCTTGTCTCAGAAAAGCCTCTTTCCCCTAAGTCTTGCAGCGAGCGGAGAAACAGCAATTCCTTTTCCAGGGGGAGAAGAAGGGAGCACCTGCCCCTCCTTCCAAAGGGGCAGTGCCAAAAGCCACTCAAATCCCTGCCTCCTGCTGTCTGCTGCTACGCAGCACCCACGACCCAGCTCCGCCTTGGCCGGGTTTCCAAACAGAACCAAATCCCCTGCTCTGCTCAAACCCTCCCAGAAAGTTGTTTCTCTTCCTTTCCACTTGCTTCCTATTATTTTGAAGACCAAGTCTGCACCCTTTGTGCTTCCGAGCCCAGAGGCCAGGGCATGACAGCTATGGGTGAAGCTGGTTGTGCAGCCCTGCGCGGCTGGAGCAAAGTTTGGTGCGACGTGGCCAGGGGCTCTGCGGAGCATCAATCCCGCAGGACCTCACCCAAACCCTCCTCATTACCTCCACACTCTCACCTTGCCATCTTCATGATAGACAAAGATGTTCCTTGTGCTGTTGTCTTTCAAGTAAGTGATCTGCAATCCATGCGGGTTCCCTATTTTTGCAGGCTGGAAAGTCGCATTTAAGTGTTCAATCTTCATAATCGCTTTGGGTTCTTTTGCCTGGAAAACACAGTTGAGTGAGCAAACACCTGAAAATCAGCTCTCAAACAAGTAAGCATTTCACTCTGGCAAAAAAAAAAAAAAAAAAAAGGAAAAAAAAAGATTGAGGCCATTAGTTAAAAAATGCCCAGCTCCCTAACCTGCCTGATGTTAGCATAACAGATTTTTTCAGAGCCAATGACAACTGGTTTCTGACAGCCTAGGAAACACTTTTTCCATTTTGGAAATTCAGCAGAGTTGATATAATGTTCAGAAAAGGGAGAACAATTCCAGCCTAGAAGCAGGATGGATGGACATGTTCTTAAAGGCAGCATTTTGTGCTTTACACACAGTTATTTCCGCAAGCCTCCTCTTTTCAATTGTCTCCCAACTCCTACATCTCCTCCAGCCTTTTTGTCTCATGCTAAATGGCAATATTTACACCTGGATGACCCCCATTAAAGGAGAACTAAAAATGCTCAGCCAGACAAAAAGAAAAAGATAGCAGATTTCTAACTAATAGGCCAGGACACTCTGCATCTCAGGCACCCGCTGTCATTTTGTCCTTGTCTTAGAAGGGCCAAACATTTTGCTGCCATTCTGGGTGTTAGGCTGGACACCCCATGCCCATTTCCACGCCAGCCCCATCCTCTCACACCAGCTATTGGCCTCGGACCTGGCTCTGCAGTTTGCATCCAGGCTGGGTACTCTCCTGAGAGAGAAACCACACGCACCCTGCAGGGAGGCTGATCCCATCCGTGAGTCTGGATCGAGCCCCTGAGAGCACCAGTCCCACCTGCAGCTCTTGAACTTCTGCAGTGCACTTTGCCTCCCCACAAAATATGTCTAAAAATTTAGTACCCTTCTAAGACTGCACAGAGAAGTGAAGTGCCAAACGCGAGTAAAACGTCTCGAGCAATAAAGATTATGCTCTTGACAACACCAGTTTTAGGCCACCCTGAGCCTCCTGATTTATTCCTGAAATTAAGGAGATGAAGCCATCCCTGAAAACCAATTCCTGCCCACTGAGAGGACATGAATCAACCCGGACACGAAGGCAGCAGTCCCGAGACGGCAGCACTTGAGGTATGGGTGGGAAAGGCTCTAACTTCCTGCAAGCCAGGTGGCATCTGGACATGTTTATAACTCTTTATTCTACTTTAATAGAGACACAACCTTATGGATCTTTTTAAAGGGACTTAACCAGCTTTATGGTTTTGGGATCTGACTAGGTTCGAAGCTCTGCTCCTTGGGTGCTTGGGCAGTTGGTCCTTCTTGGCTGGAGGAGGCCAGGACCAGCGCGGGGAGCCGCTCCGAGCGGGCAGTTGTCCCAGCAGGGCTGGTTATCACAGTCAAGGCTGCAGCTGGAAATCTGCGTTACCCCCAGCCTGACCTGGCACCTGCAGCATCAAGAAACACGACCACGAGCACCGAGAAGCAGAAGATGACTCCTAACTAGAACCACTTGTGCCACTGCACGAGCTCCTGCACCGCTGGGTAAGGCTGGTGGCAGAGGGGACCAGGGCCCCCCACGGATGGATCCCCCGTGGCACAGTCCCACGATGGCCCCTGCATCCCGCAAGGAAAGGCAGCGACAACGGCTGTCTTTCTGGGTGACTGTTCTCGAGCTTTTGCTGTGATTGGGGTGCTACACAAACACCTCTCACTGTCACTGCCATGAGCCTGACCCGCACCATGGCCCGAGGTCTTGCAGCAAAGATGGTCACACGGACAGACTGCGGCACCGAGCGCCCAGCAGAAGTCCCTGCCCTAGAGAAGATGCAAGAGCAACTTCAGGAACCTGGGGACTTGACGTGGGATGAAAGCTGCCGTGGGTGACCAGGGTGGGGAAATCCCAGAAAAGAGGATGTGTCCAGACAGTGCAGTTCCCATTGCGGCTCTGGCTGACAACAAGGTAGAGCAGCTTCAAACTGCTCAAGCAGTTAATAGCAACTGGATCAGGGCTGCTGGGACTTTCACTTCTCCCTCGGTAATGACTGTCTCTCCTGCCCACAACACACAACGGCACCACACACACGAAACGGGACAGGATGACAGTGCTGTCCGTTTAGGCTGGTGGCTGGGACTGCAGAAGCGTGGTGGATATTTCCCGCCTGGTGGGGCCAAAGACTCCCCGGAACAACGCAATGATTGTGCAAAGTACTTTAGAACACTTGCGGGTGGTTTGGTCTGGGCCACTGCCACTGTTTTATTGGAGCCTGTGGCTTGTCACAGGAAGCTTCTACCCCTAACATGGCCCTTGCACAAAATGGTGTCAAATCTGGAAAATGGCACAAGAGATTTAGCAGAAGACAGTGGATGGAGGGAGGGAGGACAGACAACAGTCCTGGTACTGATGGTCCATCCTGACTCACCTTCTGTCCCAGCAGGGCCTCCACACCCCGCTGCTGACACCACAAACCAAGAGGGCCAACAGTCCAGTGTACCTACACCGTGCAGAGCTGCACTTCTACCACCCCACACAGGGCTGGGGAGCCAGCAAGGCTGGGGTTGATCAACTTTCTACCTTAAGAAAAAGCTTGTCAGAAAAAGGGCAAGTGCAATTTTCATATCTCACTTACAATAGATGAAATCTGCTCTGGGAAAAAGGCAAAATGCTTCCATAGCTGACCCTGGAATGGAAGAACTCAGAGCCAGCGCTGGGAAAAACTCCTTCACCAATGTTTTTAAAAAAACTGCCTTTTTCACTTTAAAAGGTAACAGAGCAGGAAAGAGCAGCTGCAGGGCCACATCCTATTAAAGAGACTGGCCCCTCACCCTAGAGCAGCGACCTGGCCATTAGGAAATCTCTGTGACTCTGTATAATGGTGGCCTGGAATGGTCTGTTCAAAAATGCCCATTCAGGTGTGATCCCCTGAACCCATACAGCAACCCCAGGAACTCACGTCGTTTTTGTTGAAGTACTTCAGGGCACCTTCCCTCTCCGATAACACGAATTTTCGGCTCAAGAACTGTCCGTTGTCACGTCCTCTCTTCCACAGAAATCCTTCTCGGTATCCTGCAGCAGAAAGGAATTGCTGAGAATCAGGAATAAAATATCACAGAGCTGCCTTCAGTGTCCTTTGGCTGGGGAACGGGCTGAGTCCAGCTCAGAGCTCCCATTGGAGCCATCCCAAGGACCCGCTCCATTTCCCTGGATATCGGTGCTGCAGAGGGACTGGCTGCTCCTGAGGAATGCTATTTAGAGTAAGCGTGCCTTCCTTAAAAGTCAAAATAGCCAGAGGAAGAGAAGGAAAAGGAAAGAACCTAAGCTCTAAGATGTGAACCCTCCAAAGAAGAAACTCAGTTACAACTTGTTACTGCCGGCATCTACAACACGCAACAGGCAGAACGCACAAAGTATCTTGCAACAAGCTTAACTGACATCCCTGTTTTAATATGCTCCAAAAATAAAGAAATCCCAGGAACTCTCCACTACAAGCTTTGCGATTAACACAGTGATTAACACAGCACAGCACTTCCACTTTCTTCCATCTATTTAAAACATAATTATATATAAACCCCACTGAAAAAGCGTAGCCCTTCTCTCAGTTTCACTCATTTTAGGCTTTTATTATTGGTTCCGAGAACTAGGATTTGAAAGTTTTATAACGTCTTGCAGCTAAGTAACTAAACCCTTCTTAACACGAAAAGCGGCTCTGGAATCAGCACCTCTGCGTGCACGTGCAGGATGCACCAAGGAGGTACAGAAATTCCTTGTTCAACCCATTTTCCAGACAGTTGTCCATCCTCATGCAGGATTTATTTAACCCACAGGGAAAAAAAAAGAAAAAAAGAAAAAGAGATGTGCAAAACCCCCTCAACACTGACTGTTGGTACGGGCTGCATAAAATATTTCCATGTGACAAAAACCTAAAGCCAAATATAAAAATAAAATAATAAAAAGCACAAACGCACATGCATTTAAAAATTAGAAAAGACAGAAAGGAGTGACACAGACAACTGCTGCAACTGCTAACGAAACCAAAGGTGCCCATCTAGCTAAACGTGTCTTTGTTGATTGACAAAATACCTGCTGTCTCTGCCTACGGTGAGGAAGCCCAACGTTTTCTGCAGATCTCCAAGAGGCCTTTCCTGGCCATTAGACAAAGCCGCTGGTGTCTGGCATAAATAAACACCCTGCTAAAGGCTGTTGCTAATGGTGGCTGCTGACTGGAGGACATCGTACATCCAAGGTGCACACGAGGCTGCTGGAAGGCAGCGCTGCTCTTAACGTGCTGCAGATGTGAGTGGTGGGAGGGCTTGAAGCTGCTGGCAGCTTCTCCTTTGCTGTTTTCTTCTGCGTGGGCCCTGTGTTGCAGCAGAGCTTTGTTATAAACGTGGGGCCACCCCGCTCTGCTCCCTCCTGCCCCATAACCCTGCAAACGCCACCACAAACGTCAGCTCGGGGTGCTCCGCTCCCACTGGCTTCAGGGAGACTTCACCAGAACTTAGAGCAGAACTTACCGATCCAGTCAACTGAATGATGAATTCAAGTCCATACAAAGCCAAGCTACAGGTTTGTTATATAGTTTTCTTTCTGCTGAGAAGACACAACTCACTTGCAGGAGACACTTGTAATATCAGGAAGAAGAGTCCACAGCAAGAAGAATTATCCAAATTACCCCACTCCAAAATTCGAGCAAGGGGAAGCAGCCATTCCAGCAGCCAGGAACGCCACTAACCCAAACCAAGGGGCAGCAGCATTTCACAAGGGAGCCCAAAAGGCACCAAGTGATGCCCCAGGACCATCATCACCTCCACGGTGTGAATTAATGCTCTTTCTGGGGATGTGAAGCCCTGGGAGATCCGCATCCCTCTCCTCGTGGCTGCAGACCTGCGGGCCGGACACGATGCCTGGCCCAGACGTTTAGGAAACACGAGTTTTGCTTAACGCGAGGCAGCCGCTTCCCGGCTCCCGAGGGCCGCTCTGCCGAGGGGCAGAACGTGAAGCAGCTTGTGCCCAAAGCCGCTCTGTGCAGTGCAGAAAGCAGGGGTGATTCCTGCAGGGCGCCAGTCCCCAGCGCGCAGCCCCGCGGAGCAGAGCGATCCAGCAGCCCCTTCCATTCGCTGCGTCACGCCGGAGAGGCGGCTTCGGAGCTGTCGGCAGCCGCGTGCGGAGACTCCAGCACCGCCGGGAGACCGGGCCAGGCTGGGCTTGGAGTCGAGTAAGAGACCCGCACGCAGGACAGCAACAGCTCCAAATGCGAGGTGAAATGGAAGGAAAGCCCATCGTTTCCTTCCAAAATCCCCACCTAGGGCCCATCCAGTTGGGCAGTGAGTGTCCCCGCAGGGGCTCAGCACCACCCGCTCGGGCTGTTGGTCTCATTCACTCGTGGGTCTCGAGCGTTTCATCACAGACATCTCACTGGCATCAGGTCTACCAGGTGGATGCTTCAGTCACTTGATATTAATTTGCCCCCTTCTCCACTACCTCTTTGGTGATTTTTCTTAACTATTAAGGGTTAAAGAGTAAAACCATTCCGCATTTTCCCAAACAAGATCCTGAATAATGTCAAATTTGCAAATTTCACCTAGCTTCTCCCACTGGCAGGTGGGTTTCACACGAAGCTCAGGGAGGCTTGGTGACCTGCCCAGGACAAAACCATGCACCAGTGTCAAAGTCAGATTGCAAACCTCAGCTTCCCTGCCCTCCCATATAGGGACATTTTTATTGTTTTCATCTCCTCTCTCCAACTCCTTGTGGCAAAACACAGGATGTGAATTCCATTTCCCAGGAGAAACAGAAGAGAAAACCCTAAGTGCTATCCCTTTCCTTAGTTCACACACCAGCTCTCTCCAGAACATCTCTGCAAAAGAGCTCCTGGCTGCTCTGACGAAGCCAGCTGCTAATTTTGCCCTACTCGGCTATGGATCTTCATGAACCTTTTGCTTGCTTCTTTTCTTCCTTCCTTCCTTCAGGGCTGTGTACTCAGGAGCTGCTCTGCTCTGCCCAAGTCTGCTGTCTGCACCCCTGTCAACACTGCTGGCCCTAACCGTGATGGATTGGGCTTGAACTGAACGTGAACTCACCCAGGCTCCCCAGGCAAAGAGCTTGTCGGCAAGACACGTCCTCAACGTCTGGACCTAAAAAACTTGAAAATAGCTAGAGAAGAGTTGCAGAGATGATCCCCGGCGTCTACCTAAACCAGCTCTCCTCATCCCTGTGGGCTGCGCTGCCTTAGCTTTGTATTCAGAGACATTTGGACAAATTCTGACCTTGCCTTGACGATGGCTGCTCTGCTTCACGGTCCCCAGCTCAGTCCTGCCCACCTGTCCCCAGGTGCAGGGCTTGACCACGAGCACCCTCCGATGCAGAGCTGCGGGTCCCGGCCCACGGGCTCTCCTTTAAGGAATTGTTCCTGGGTTAAGGCAATGGCTCTGCAGGCACTGAGTTTTCTTCAGCCCTTAAGCTGTCTGCTAAGGAGAAAAATTGATCGCTTGCTCTTGTGGGTAGCTCTGGCACAAACCTGTGACATTTATATATATATATAAAAACACTGCATAGTTGTGACGAAGTTAGCCAATAAAAGGCATGTAGCATCACCTGAAACCATCCAGCCAGAATGGGTATTTTTGAGCCATTACTTAGTTTCCAAGGTCAAATAGCAGATAAAATTCTACTGGGGAAAGAAAACTGGGTCACTAAACTGCTTCACCAAAAAGAAGCTGCGAGAGAGCCCTGGGTTAGCTCAGGATTGTTATGTCTGAACCCCAGGTAGGGATTTTTGAAGGAATAAAGGGCTTTTCCTCCATTGTGCCCGACTTCTCCAAGCCAAATGCCTACGAACAGCAGCAGCCAAGGGGAGCTCCCCTCTGCGCCGGCCGTCCCACCATGCAGGAGTCATGAGGAAGCCCCGTCAAGGACGGTCGGGCCAGTGCAGACACCTTCCCATCCGACTTCCCCAGAGCTTTGCTCAGATTCCCTCTCTAAAACCTTGGGCATTGCTACCTCCCCACCTCAGAAAGCCACTATGGTGTTCAGTTAATGATGCCTTCCCTTTTTCTTTTTCTGGGAATTTGGAACACAAGAAGGACAAGTATTTTGTTTCAAGCTTTTGTTCTTGGAGAAAAAAAAAGTTGTGAGAGAGGGAAAACCAGATTCAGTGGCTTGAAAGAACATTCATGCATGGACTTTTCTTTCTCTCATGTGTAAGAAAGCATTATAAACCTGGGATTAAACTGCACCTGCTCAGTCTCTTTGGCACATTTGTTCTGCAAACAGGTATCAGAACTGCTTGTTCCCATGAAGTTCCTGCCTCAGCAGTAAAACCAAGCCTGATGCAAGGCTTTTAGGAGCAGCACATTAATACACGCAATATACATAGAGCACAGCACAAAGCCAGAGAGCACTCTGATTCTTTCCTTCTGGTTTCACTGCAAGACAACACACTGAAGGCTGAAATAGAGGAAAAAAGAAAGTATTGGTACATGTAATCACATATTTATGGGGTTTGAGCTAGCCACCTCCACCTACAGAAATAGATTTGCTTTCCTCAGAGCAGTCAGGCAAAGTGCTGTGACCCCAATCCACAGCTTTGGAGATGAACAGGAAGATTTAAACGCAACTACATTACTTCACTGCTAAAATTACAGAGTATATATTGCTGCTTCTGCTGTGTGTCAGAAGCCTAGCAGTCTGCTAATATTATCATAAGATGTTAATTAAACTAGAGCAGTAGGTAGGTAGTGACTGCAGATGATGTGTCTGCTTTTTCTGTGAGGTTGAGGAATTGCATAATTATGTGAAGCAGTTGACTGGAGAATCCCTGACATATCAGACTACAAGTGACACTGAACGTCGCATCCTCGTTTTAGCAGAAAGGGACTGCAGAATAATTCCATCAGGAAAAGCCATGCTGCCCACAAAGCAGTATGCTGGACCAAGAGGAAGGCACATGCTAAGTGCAGATGCTGTTGCAAAAAGCTGTAAATTTCCTGTCCTGCTGCATCAGTTTAAATCATTCGGTTTAATTGCTCTATGCTGTAAATGTAATTTCTTTCCACAGCATTGAGCCA